CTTCACGAATTGGTTCGCTGAAGTTCCGACTTATTGAATACAACTTTGAGTGGTGGACGTTACAAGAGAAAAATGAGGCAAGTGTACTACTCCAGCCTCAAAATTGAAAAAAAGCACAACATAATTTAAAAATTGATCGAGCTCTCACATACTTAGAGTTTTATTAATGCTCTATGCAACGCTTAACACTTACTCATGAATCCTTCACGATCTTGTAAGCTCAAGTAAGTCATTTGAAACTAAGATCCCTAAGAGAATGAAGAAAGACAGAGATCTTTTTTTAAAGAAGGTTTTGTGTTTCTTGTGGAGTCTTAACTTAGAAATTTTTGGGATGTTACATGCGCAATATCTAGGAGCTTCGTCCTATCCTTTTGTTGCGCACCCGCGTAGTGCCTTATAACACTCCAGTAGGGCATTAATGTGTTCCGGTTGGTTGTCCGTCTATGGGTGGTTTGTGGAAATTTGTGGAGAAGTGCAACTCTGTACCAAGTATGTCAAATAACTCTATCCAAAAGTTTCCAGTGAAGCAGGGGTCTTAATCACTAATGTGCATTGACAGCCCCCAATCCTTTACTACATTCTTGAAAACAACTTGGCAGCCTCTTTAGCGGTGCAACCACCTGTGGCGGGCATGAAGGAGGCATACTTCGAGATCTAGTCCACCACGACCATAATTGTCCCATACATGTCTGACTTTGGGAAGGAAGTGAGTGCATGACCACATTCTCCCAAGGACGTTTCGCTATGGGTAGCGACTCTAGCAGTCTACCTAGTCGCTGTTGCTCCAGTAATTTGTCTTGTTTTGGCACACAAGACATGTATGCATGTAGAACTCAATGTCATCTCACGGGGTTCACCATAGTACTCACGGGGTGGATAGCCCCATAGTCCAAAAAGGGCATAGAGTGATGTTCCCATGACAGCCCCCAAGCTCCATAAACTATATTGCCACCATAGGAATACTAGCTAGTGGATCCACCAAGATGCTATGTTAATGTTTGGGTCTACTTTGGCTGGTAGACCACCTTCCAACAATCACATCCCAAGCATACAAGTGCAATGCTCAAGTGAAGTCCCATAACCCCACATAATCAAGTAAACAAGGAAAGAGATCATAAGTAATGCCTAACTTACTATAACAAAGCATTATGAGTAGTCATCATCATATATAGCAAAATAGACCAATAACATGTTCATAAGTAAAACAAACATCATATAGGATCATCAACAGGTAAAGTCAAAATATGCATATCATTTACTTATAAGAGTATAAGAACAACCTCCTAGGACTGCCCTCAAGGCCAACTAGTTCAATGTATAGGTAGAGTCCCATACCCCTACCTACACTAAGAAGAAATCCTTAAGTCACCCTAGTTAGAGTTCACTTTATTACTTTAATTTTACTTTTCGGAAAATTCACTTTAATTGAGAATAGACAATGTGGACTTAACATGTAATCCGATGTCATGAAACCCTAAACCGGATGAAGATGGTCTACTTGCCAAGGTAGGACCAAAACATGAACATAACATTCTAAATGGATCCACTAGCTAGTATTCTTATGGGACAACATAGTTCAAGAACTAGGAGACATGTGTTGGACTCTCTTTATGCACAATTGCTTTATAGTCAATATCTCATGAGAGCCCTTGGTGAATCTTCCTTCTATGGGGAATCAGCACCTCTCATTGTCAAATTCACTCGGTTCTAAGCTAAAGTCCCTTTTTGAAATGCCATTAAGTAATTATTAATCAATAATGGCTTAACATAGGTCATAGGAGATTGAACCCCTTATATAGCATATCATTTAGCTCATTTGTCATAGGATCGGAACTTTCTTTCATCGTAAACCATCATTAGTGAGATCAACATATCATAATTATATAATCTAAGGAACACAAGATAAACCATCTTCAAACTTGCATTATCATAGCCTCATTATGATCTCACACTCAACATAATCATAACATGCCATCATTATTGAAGTAAAGAGTTGAAGATCACAAATTCTTACCAAATAGCCTCTATGGACTTCATCACGAATCTCAACCCGAATTCATCACAATTATCCAATAATCCACTCATCATTATCATAATATCTTGAATTAAACATTAACATAACCAATTCCGACAACCTTAATCATCTACAAGTTCAATTCTGAGCAAGGGTTAGGGAAAAGGGCTCAGACCATGATGTCTTCAAGAAATATATCCAATCCAACAATACATGACGATAGGCACTCCATGAATGAAATAGAATAGTTACCACAAGTCTAACAATCAATACATTTATCAATTCCATCAATTCATAGCAAGATGTAAGATTTGACGAATTAGGGGAAGGGCATAGATCACACGAAATTCCATTAATCAACATCAGTTACTCAATAATTACACCTAATTAGCCATAATTAATCACAATTCGTTATAATCAATCATCAATTTCAAGTTTAGAAGAAAACCCATTTGTAGAGGAAAACTCTTGGAATTGGGTGATTTAGAAATTAAATTTGAATGGACCTCTAGGAGAAAGGAATCGCAAGAGTGCAGAATCCATACCTTAGTGAAGACTTTATCCACTAATTTGAGAGGAAAAGTTGAGAACATGACCTTCTTCTCCAAGCTTCCAATGCTCATTGATGGAGGTTGAGTTAGATAGAAAATTTAGAGAGAAGTGAGAGTAATTTTGGGAATTGATTTGGGTGGGTTAAATGAAATAAAACTGACCCTAAATCAACTCTATAGTCCCACCCTAAATTAACCAAACTACCCCTCATTTAATTGTGTCTTTTTGTGAAGTCAAATTGACTTAAAAACGACGCTAACGAATTTGAGAAGTGGATGCACGTTGCGGGGGTAGTTCCAAGTTTTTTCCTTTAATCCTGGTTGAGGCAGTGAGCCTTGTGAAGGACCTGCGTCGTGCGGTTATTTTTGCCATCCAAGTGTAGGCTGAGCGATGCGTGGAGACCCTCAAATACTGGCTGCCCGCTTGCCAATGTTTGGGTCCTTCTCAAGGACCCTTCGGGTTGCACTTGGGGATTCGTGACTGGATGTTTTGAAGCGGTGATCATTATTTTACCTATTCAAAGTCTTTTTAAAAGTTTAGATTTCATATGACACGCCCAAACCTTCACCAAACATAAGGACATCTACTAGTTTAATTTCGCTAGTTTCTGGACGTCAAGGTCTTCTTTCGACTTTAAGGCTATAATGCTTCTAAATCAACTTTATTATGTTAGTGTAGGTCTTCAAACATAATTTTAATCATCATTAGGTAGGTGAAGATATAGACTAGGTCAAGGATTTTTGAAGTGTTACATTATCCGCTCCTTGGGAACATTCATCCCTGAATGACACTAAAACTCTTTTGTAGGAAGAGGATGACCTAAGACTAGAAGCCCAACTAATGACAACAAGAACCATCATGAGTCACATCTCATAGGAGTAATTCAGAACTCTATTTCAACACATTACCATGACATTACACATAGCAACTCAAAATACAATTTACCACATATAAGAGCTCAACTTCACAACATAAGAAACTACCTTCTCAACATCAACATGAACTGATTAACATGCTCAATACAATTTCATGAAAGCAACTACACACAAAGTCATAAATAGGTTCAAGTTAAGCAAAAGCACATATTTACAAGAAAACTCATTTTAGCAAATCAAGCCAAATTCAACATTATTAATTAGTTCATTTAAAAAGGATTACAAATTCAACATTATTAATTAGTTCATTTAAAGAGGATTACTAATCTCAACTTTAGCTAGAATTTTGAGGAAAGAGGTGAGGATAACGGGATTTCATGTCAGCCTCGGCCTCCCATGTTGCTCCCTCAATTAGGTGATTTCTCCATAGGACTTTTACGTAGACCACCTCGTTGTTCTTCAACTTCTTGACT